CAGGCAGTATTTAAAGCATACTACCTACTGGCCTTAGTAAGCATGATTACTAGAATCTAGCACGATTAGCATAGGCGCGTACCTATAGAAGCAGCTCGTTTAGTCCGTACCTAGTAGAAAAGTACACAGCTCGATGGATAGAATTGAGAGTGTGGAAGCCAATGCAAGCACTGCTATGCACAGGACTCAAGCAGTTACCTACTTGAAATACTTTAAACCCAGATTCACACTCCTTGTTGAGACCAAGGGAATACGAGCCGTAGCGTTGGCTTAATCAGCGTCACCTCTGACGAATGGGGGCGTCAGTGCCAGCGCCAGTAATTCTACACTTCTTGCCGAGATTGAAGGAAGATTAGCCCAGTTCGGACTTTAATCAGCGTCTTTTCTGACTTATTAAACAGCCAGTAACAACACTAGCAAATACTATCACTCAGCTACACCCTAGTAATTAGTATTAGAAGTAGCAGTATTGGTGGTAGCAGTACCAGTCCTGGCTTTCTAAGGTCTGACTAGACACCTACTATAGGTGAGTGAGGGTAGACAGTGCATTAGTACCCGCCCAAAGTCTACTGTCACTAAAGGCTAGCTTAGGCGGTGTTTCTGGCTGCATTTGGAGAAAGCGGCTTACGCCTGATTCCCTGTACGGTCATCTCGACTTTGTCTTGTCACTGTTCTCACACGGGGTGGAGGTTTAGAGTGGGGTAGAGATGGCGGCCACTCTTCTTTTACTATACCTGGCCGTAGTCACCGTCCCTGCTCTCGGGCAAGTGGTGGACATCTTCGCTTGCGATGGTCGAACTAGCACACACAAATCACTCAAGAGCCCGGGAATGGCCTTAATGGGAAGCGACTGGTAAAGTAAAGAGTTGTGAAGACAGGAGCAGCAATCTACGAGGCCACTGCAATTGTCGTTGTGAGAGCCGAAGGATGAACTAGCAGATCTGAAGCATCTCTTACCTACCACGTCAACAATCAACCCAATCCAACGTGCCCACGTTGTCAACAAACATTCGACGCTCATATAGGCCTCGTGAGACAACTCCGAACTCTTCCCAGTTAGGGTCGCTGGTTTGCCAATCCAACAGACTGGCATTCGGTGCTCGTCATCGAACAAAGTCAGGTGCATACATACAAAGAATGTCTCAACACTGTCACCATTCACCATGGAGGCGTAAGAATATCACCAGGTTACTCTCCTTGATGTCCTCGTCTGCTGTACAGATGGTAGTGGCCTTGCGAACAAATTCCTTAGAAAAGTGACAAATAAGTTGCAAATACAGAACTCCAACAGTAACCACCCATTCAGTTAAAATAATAGTTGCGTAAAGACGCTATATCGGCGTGTTGAGGTGCATTGCGGTAAACCGGTAGGCAAAACTTCTAGTCTGCAATATTGCCGATGGATGCTTGGAGAAAAGGGTTCGCTGCCCCACTTCTTTAGCCGGTACTTACGCAAACGAGACAATATCCCAAAACGTACTAACGCCCAATTTTAGCGAACACTTTTTGTGTGTCAAGAGCAGCCCGGAG